CACACACACACACACACACACACACACACACACACACACACACACACGCCGAGTCATTCACGAAGCGGCGCGCCGCCTTAATTATCAGCTGAGCCGGAGAAGGACCCAGGCGGAGGAGGACAGCGAGGTATGGCCGGGGCTGGGACTCTTGGCACTAAGCTCACCTCTTCGCAGAGCATGGAAGAGTCAGGGTGGGCAGAGAATTATCAGGGAGGACAGAGGTTGTCGGGTCAACAGCCACCAGGTTGACCAAGGCCTTTAAAATATTTGCTCCCCTCCCCCTCAAAAGGCCAAGCACCTGAAGATGGGGAGAGCGTGGACTCCCAGAGGCCCTCCCGGGAAACAAGCCAGGGTGGAAGGAGTGATGACACCAGCTGAGGCTCCCCGGGAAACCTGCACCGGGAGGCAGCAACTGGAGAGAGGGGCGATGGCTCTCCAGGCATACTGCGCCACCCGGGAGGCGAGCCCAGCAAGTGTGGCCGAGGGCTGGGAAGGGAGCCCACCCGAGCCAGGGAGCCGAGAGGGGCCCAAGTTTCCCAGGGTTGCGGTAGCAGCCCCAGATCGTGCTCTACGTTAGACACTCGCACGTGCGCACCGCTCCCCCGCAGCCCAGCGCCTTACGAGCGGCGCTGGGACCCCCACCTTCATTTGTACGGGGACGTCACCGGCCGCGCGCGCGGGGACTGAGGGGGCGGGGCTGATCCGCGCGCCTGCGCGCTGCGCCCGGCGGGCGTGAGGGCGGGCCGCGGCGGCGGCGGCGGAACAGCGGCTACAGAGTCTGCAACAGTAACCGAGCCATGGCTGGAGCTGGCCAGCGGCGCGGGCAGGCAGCAGCCGCGGAAGGCGCAAGGGGTGCGTCAGGGGAGCCGGGGGCCTCAGAATTCTAGGAAGGAGAGGGACGTGAGGGGACCGGGGGCGGGCGGGCTGGGGGCACCGCGCTCGCCCAACGGCGCGGATCCTTTCTGGAAATTAATATTTAAAAAAAAAAAAAAAAGCCGAGGACGCAGAGGGGAAGGTGGGGGCAAGAGGGAAGGCGAGACACACTGAGAGGGAGACAGAGCCCCACAGTGAGAGGAAGGAAGGAAGGAAGGCAGCAGTCGCCAGCAGCCGATGTGAAGACCGGACTGCGTGCGCCCTTCGCCGCCTCTGCCCGGCCTCATCGATGTTGTGTCCGCCGTCCGCTCGCCCAGATCACGATGAACGCGCAGCTGACCATGGAGGCGATCGGGGAGCTGCACGGCGTGAGCCATGAGCCGGTGCCTGCCCCTGCTGACTTGCTGGGCGGTAGCCCCCACGCGCGAAGCTCCGTGGCGCACCGCGGCAGCCACCTGCCCCCCGCGCACCCGCGCTCGATGGGCATGGCGTCCTTGCTGGACGGCGGCAGCGGCAGCGGCGATTACCACCACCACCACCGGGCCCCCGAGCACAGCCTGGCCGGCCCCCTGCACCCCACCATGACCATGGCCTGCGAGACTCCCCCAGGTATGAGCATGCCCACCACCTACACCACCTTAACCCCTCTGCAGCCGCTGCCGCCCATCTCCACCGTCTCGGACAAGTTCCCCCACCATCACCACCACCACCACCACCACCACCACCCGCACCACCACCAGCGCCTGGCAGGCAATGTGAGCGGTAGCTTCACGCTCATGCGGGACGAGCGCGGGCTGGCCTCCATGAATAACCTCTATACCCCCTATCACAAGGACGTGGCCGGCATGGGCCAGAGCCTCTCTCCCCTCTCCGGCTCCGGTCTGGGCGGCATCCACAACTCCCAGCAAGGGCTCCCCCACTATGCCCACCCGGGCGCCGCCATGCCCACCGACAAGATGCTCACCCCCAATGGCTTCGAAGCCCACCACCCGGCCATGCTCGGCCGTCACGGGGAGCAGCACCTCACGCCCACCTCGGCCGGCATGGTTCCCATCAACGGCCTTCCTCCACACCACCCACACGCCCACCTGAACGCCCAGGGCCACGGGCAACTCCTGGGCACGGCCCGGGAGCCCAACCCTTCGGTAACCGGTGCGCAGGTCAGCAATGGAAGTAATTCAGGGCAGATGGAAGAGATCAATACCAAAGAGGTGGCGCAGCGTATCACCACCGAGCTTAAGCGCTACAGCATACCACAGGCCATCTTCGCGCAGAGGGTGCTCTGTCGCTCCCAAGGGACCCTCTCGGACCTGCTGCGCAACCCCAAACCCTGGAGCAAACTCAAATCCGGCCGGGAGACCTTCCGGAGGATGTGGAAGTGGCTGCAGGAGCCAGAGTTCCAGCGCATGTCTGCGCTCCGCTTAGCAGGTGAGCGGGCCAAGGAGCTGGGCGCGCGGGGAGATAAGGTATTGGGGAAGCTGAAGGGACCCAAGGAGGCAGGGAAGGAGAGAGCTCTGTGCACGCTTCATCCCGTCCTCCTTTCACCGAGAGGGGGGTCCCTAGGCCTGGAAGAGCCAGAGCGTGGCTCCCGGGAGCAGACAGCCTCTTCCAGGACTCAGTGCATTGGGCTGTGGAAGGCTCCGGGAACTGAGCAGCGCGGCCTGGGTGATTGCAGAGGAGCATTTGTGCTGGGAGACAGCGCAGGAAGCTCGCACCACCGTAGGTGGAAAGAAATCCCAGCACCTGGCTGGATACGGTCTGTGCATCGCTTCTGGGTTTGGCACTCCAGGTTTGTGGGGCGAGAGAGGCGACGCGTGCGTGGAACTGCGCGCAGGTGCTGCCAGCCAGTATCCCTGGCACATACCCGGGCGCTGTGCTGGAGCGTGCGGGAGCTGCCTGCCAATGTTTAGCTGAACTCGCTGCGGTGACCCCGCTCCCGCGCTCACTTTAGTGGCGCGGGGTGGGGTGGGGGGCTGGAGGGTGGGGAGCGCACTCTGGGAGTTCCAGCAAAGGTTCCGAAGCCGCGCGGCGGTGGGTGTGTGGCGCAGACGCTCCGTTAAGGTTTAGGACGCACTCTGCGCTTGTGACCGGCTGTAGAGAGGGAGGCAGATCGTGCCAAGGTCCAGGTGAGGGCGGCCGAGCAACAAGGGAGCTTCTAGCTTAGCCCAGAGACCGATTTCGCTGCCGACTCGCTTAGGGCTTCGCATTTTGTTTTATTCCTCTGCATGAATTTTCGTCTGAATCCCATGCAGGGGGTGGGAGTGTGAGGGAAAAAAACAAGTCTTCGAGCAGAGGTCTCCGGACCCAAACACCCCGAGGGCCTGGTGTTTCCGAGTTGAACGGGAAGGTCTTGGCGGCGCTGCGTAGACACTGCGCCCAGTTCCCCCAGCCTCTCTAAGCCAAGGTAAGGGGAAGGCTCTGGCCGGCCCACCGGCGGAGGGGACAACTGACCCCAGCCTGAATCACACGGGGGATTTCAAGCAGATTCAGCGACCCCCTAGGGCGGAGGACAAGCGGAGAGGTACAGCCAAGGGCAGCTGAGGGTGGACTCGGTTTGATGAGACCCGGGCTGAGTTGATTGACTCCTGGGGTACATGCTGCCACACCCCCACCCAATCTCAGCCCGGCGACCTAGCCTGAGTCCTGGCGAAGAAAAAGGTAAAAGCCGGAATGAGGGTTTGTTAATTAACTGATCGTTCTCCATTAATTCGTCCCTGGAGAACGAGAGACCGTCAATCCGCGCAGAGCCGTGGGCACTGAGCCGTTTCACAGTCTAAAATCAAAGCAAGAGGCCAGGGCCCCCTCCCCCACATCGTGCGGGCCAATGAGAAGCTAGAGGGAAGCGGGTGCCGGCGTCCCCGCGAGCCTGCGACTCCAGCCGGATGCGACCCAAAGCAGTCCTGGGGTCTGGGTTCTTGTGGCCTCCCTGCTGGAGCTCCGCACCGTCTGAGCCTCTGCCCCGCCAGGTTTTCCAGTCCAACCCCGCGCTCGTTGGCTCCAAAGTCCCCACGAGGACTCTTGCAGCCTGAGCCCAGAAGCCAGGAGAGGCTGGGGTAAGGGGGACGGCAGGGGGAAGAAAGAGGTTGACAGGGTACCCTCTGGGGCTCCCGCAATTCCACTCTCTAGCTTTGTGTGCAGCCACCAGATCGCCCCATCCCATGGGTAGACCGAGACCCGAGGGCAGCTGAAGTTCTGGAAGGGACGGCCGAAAACGCTATTCCTCTCCCAGACTGATATGCCTATGCCGGCGTCCAAGGTAGTGCCTTTTCACACGCACACGCCAGCCTCGAGCCCGGCTTCAGGACTTTTTACCGAGGCAGTGCACACACAGGCAGGTTAGTGGGGCTGGGGGAATGGAGGGAGGGGATGCAAATGGAGAGCCGTTCCCCCCCACCCCCAGGGAAGCTCGTTCCAAACACCCAACCTCCTGAAGGCGCTTGCTCAGGACTTAAATGACTCTCCTTCCCCACTGCCTCCTATTGTCCCCCGGAAAGACAGACTGATAAATTAGGTTCAGGGACGACCCCGGAGCCCTGGATACCCGCCTTAGCGCCCTGCCCTGTACAAGCGCCCTCTCACCTCCTCGCATGGGCAGCCCTAGTACTGCTACCTGCACACGGGAAGTGCAGTGGACGTACCCGCCCGGGCTCACGGGACCCAGGAAGTTACCGAAGGGGCCGCTGCCTGGCACCCAGCAGCGCGTAGAAAGTCCTGCCCAGCCTTTGGACGGAGGCGCGTGGCCTTTTCCTCGAGAAAAAAAAAAAAAGAAAAGGAAAATCGGAGACCCTGGCGGGACGTGAGTTTGGCGCCAAACCCCCAGCGAACTCGTTATCCTAAGACCCGGATGCGGGGTTGTCTCTCCCATTTTCCTTTCTTTAACTTCATTAAAGGGGTGGGGCGGGCTGGGATGAGCGCGCGTGCGGAGCCAGCCGGGATCAATCCCATTACGCAGCAAGAGCCAAGACTTGTTTTTAAGTCACCGAAGAACGACAAGACCTCCCGTTAACATTTTAATTTGGTGGTGGGGGCGGGGGCGGGCGGAACGAGGCCGTTTCCTGAACCGTTCAAATGATCTCTGGTAGGCCCTGACTGCAGGTGACTAAAAACGGATTGCAGGGCATGTTGGACGCAGCTGTGAGACATTGCCCCCTCCTCCCCACTGCCAGCTCCCGTGCACGGAGGGAGGTGCCACTTGCAGCTCTTGCTCGCCGTTGCACTCAAAGACCCCTTAAACTCGTTTCTACCCCATGCGAGGCAAGGCCCATCGAGGTCGGCTCCTTCGCTGGGTAGCGGGAGAGTGGCTTCTTCATGCCCTCCTGGTACCCCGGGTTCCGTACAGCCTGGTGTGGAGGGTCAAAACCCTCCGCCCGCCCGCGGCAGCGTGTTTGGAGAGGCGCTTTCTCTTCACGAAATTACATCGGCTGGCGGACGACGGGAGACAGGAGGAAATTCTCACCAAATTAACTACCTTTAAAAAATCAATATATGTTCCCTCAATGTAACACTTGCTGCTTCCCCATTAAAGTGCAGCGCAACCAGGCTCACGCTGCGTCTCATCCCAGGTGGGGAGGGGGGGCTGGGCTGTGCCGGTGGGTGGGTGCCCCGCCTCTGACGTGTGCGCCTATTAAGACGCGGGGAGATTAGCTTCCAATTAAAGATTCCAGAAGGCTCCGGCCTCAGTAGGGGGTAGCTGCCGGCGCAGGAAGAGGCTGCCACTGCACACCCACCAACGGGTGCTGCAGAGACCCAGCAGGCGAGGCCCGGGGTCTGGCAGGGGTGGGTGGTGCGCCGCTTCGACCCTGCGGTACCTGGAGGCGAAGAAACCTCCCAACAGGGGCGCCAGGGAGCCAGACGGGTCTCCAGCACCCGGGACTGCTCCTGTTTCCTGGACGGGATTTGCCCCAGGACCACCCGGGGACCGGGGGGCGTGGGGGGGGCAGTCTGACCAGGAGGTGGCCATGAGAAAGTCTCGCCCGGACCAACATGGGCCATGTTTGCCATAAGTGGCCTTGCTGCCTGGTTGATTGATAACTAACTGGCTCCCGCGCAAGTCCATTTGCTTTTTGTTAATATTTATACCAACGGGCGACGTTTCAACTGTCCCCTCCCTTCTCTGGGCCATGGGAGCCAAGCAGAAGGAGTTCGATGCTGGGCCCTGGGAACTCCACTTCTCCAGTCCTCGAAGACTCTGGGCCGGGAGAAAAGCCACAACTGGGCGTGTGGAATGCAGGAACTGGAAGGGTTCCTGGGCCCAAGAGTCGGGGGAGAAGGTGCCAAGTGGACTGGTTCCCCGCCACGCCTGGCGTCTCTGCGGGGCGGTTCTCGGGCAGTGCAGCTGCTCTCAGCCGGCTGCGGCCCGAACAAAGGGCCCGCGGGGCGCTGTCGACAGCATCCGCCTAGCAGCCTGGGGGCCATGGGGGCTGGCTGCCCCGGACGAGAGCCACCTCCGAAGCTTTATGCTAGACTCCTCCCAGCGTGGCCTGGGGGCCAGCCAGTCGTCAGGCGGAGGCCGAGGAGTTCCAGAGTCCCCTCACCAACTCAGGCCTAAGGGTCGCCCGTGCTCCTGGAGAGTTGGCTAGGGACCCCTGCCCACACATACACACACACACGCCAGCCGAACAGGTCTGGCTGTTGGGGACAATCCCCAGAAGGCTCTGCGTGGGCCTTTCTCACAGCCCATGTCTGATTCCTGGAGGGTGTGGAACAATAGTTCTCTCTTGCGGCCCCCACTGGGGAGCACAAACCCCAGAGAGGAGAGGAAGGGGCGCATGGAGTTAAGAAGTGTGCACGTGGTGAAGGTTGGAGCGGAGAGTTTGACTAGAGTGGAGGAGACCTGCTGCTGTGGCTTGAGGAGGCCTGATGGTTATTTTGTGGTGACCTGGTGTCAGAGCATCGAGCCCGGCTGCCTGAGACAATAAACCCTGCGGCCTGTCCCGAGGGTGGTTGGCTCTCCCGCCAGCGGGTGCAGCCCCAGGCCCTTTGGAAGCACCCAGTGGGCAATCGGGGTCAGTAGAGACCCAGTCCTACCGTCGCTGTTTTGCAGCTGGCACTTGGGACAGTCTGTGCCAACAATAGCACCGTTGTGTTGTAGCAGCAAAGCAACTCAAAGCCCAGGCTGCATCTTTCTTTATCTTCAAGCGCTCAGCGCACCACAGGAAGCTAAGCTCGTGCCCTCACTGATGCCCTCCTTGTGGACTCATCTTCCCCAGTAGCTGCGCATGCCCCCTGCGGGCCGCGAGGCCAGGCACCCAGAGAGCCTCTGTGGTTCAACCCGCTGCGGAGAGGAGAGGCTTTGTTTTTAGAACATTGATATCTTAGTGATTTTCAAAATGAGAACTATTTTGACAGGTAGAGAGTGTAGTGGAGGGAGAAAAGGATACCTAGCGGATCTGTCTTGCTCCTAAACAATTCCTGGGTATTACCCCACT